GTCAGAGTGAGGAACCTTGTCCTCAGAGTGAGGAACCTTGTCCTCAGTGTGAGGAACCTTGTCCTCAGGGTGAGGAGCCTTGTCCTCAGAGTGAGGAACCTTGTCCTCAGAGTGAGAAACCATGTCCTCAGAGTGAGGAACCTGCCTTCAGCGTGAGGAGCCTTGTTCTCAGAGTGAGGAAACCAGTCCTCAGAATGAGGAACCTTGTCCTCAGATTTAGGAACCTTGTCCTCAGAGTGAGGAACCTTGTCCTCAGTGTGAGGAACCTTGTCCCCAGGGTGAGGAGCCTTGTCCTCAGAGTGAGGAACCTTGTCCTCAGAGTGAGAAACCATGTCCTCAGAGTGAGGAACCTGCCTTCAGCGTGAGGAGCCTTGTCTTCAGAGTGAGGAAATCAGTCCTCAGAATGAGGAACCTTGTCCTCAGAGTGAGGAATCTTCTCCTCATAGTGAGGAATCTTGTCCTCAGAGTGAGGGACCTTGTCCTCAGAGTGAGGAACGAAGCGTCCTCAGAGTGAGGAACCTTGTCCTCAGAGTGAGGAACGTTGTCCTCGGTGCGAGGAACTTGCCTTCAGAGTGAGGAACCTTGTCGTCAGAGTGAGGACCCTTTTCCTCAGAGGGAGGAACGTTGTCCTCACAGTGAGGAACCTTGTCCTCAGAGTGAGGAACCAGCCTTCAGATTGAAGAACCTTTTCCTCAGAGTGACAAACCTTGTCCTCAGAGTGAGGAACGATGTCCTCAGAGTGAGGAACCTGCCTTCAGAGTGAGGAATGTTGTCCTCATTGTGAGCAACCTGCCTTCAGGGTGAGGAACCTTGTCCTCAGAGTTAGGAACCTTGTCCTCAGAGTGAGGAACCTTGTCCTCAGTGTGAGGAACCATGTCCTGAGGGTGAGGAGCCTTGTCCTCAGAGTGAGGAACCTTGTCCTCAGAGTGAGGAACCATGTCCTCAGAGTGAGGAACCTGCCTTCAGAGTGGGGAACCTTGTCCTCAGAGTGAGGAACCAGCCTTCAGATTGAAGAACCTTTTCCTCAGAGTGACAAACCTTGTCCTCAGAGTAAGGAACGATGTCCTCAGAGTGAGGAACCTGCCTTCAGAGTGAGGAACGTTGTCCTCATTGTGAGCAACCTGCCTTCAGGGTGAGGAACCTTGTCCTCAGAGTTAGGAACCTTGTCCTCAGAGTGAGGAACCTTGTCCTCAGTGTGAGGAACCATGTCCTGAGGGTGAGGAGCCTTGTCCTCAGAGTGAGGAACCTTGTCCTCAGAGTGAGGAACCATGTCCTCAGAGTGAGGAACCTGCCTTCAGAGTGGGGAACCTTGTCCTCAGAGTGAGGAACCAGCCTTCAGATTGAAGAACCTTTTCTTCAGAGTGACAAACCTTGTCCTCAGAGTGAGGAACGATGTCCTCAGAGTGAGGACCTGCCTTCAGAGTGAGGAACGTTGTCCTCATTGTGAGCAACCTGCCTTCAGGGTGAGGAACCTTGTCCTCAGAGTGAGGAACCTTGTCCTCAGAGTGAGGAACCTTGTCCTCAGTGTGAGGAACCATGTCGTCAGGGTGAGGAGCCTTGTCCTCAGAGTGAGGAACCATGTCCTCAGAGTGAGGAACCTGCCTTCAGAGTGAGGAGCCTTGTCCTCAGAGTGAGGAAACCAGTCCTCAGAGTGAGGAACCTTGTCCTCAGAGGGAGGAACCTTGTCCTCAGACTGAGGAACCTTGTCCTCAGAGTGTGGAACCTTGTCTTCAGAGTGGGGAACCTTCTTCTCAGAGTGAGGAAGCTTTTCCTCAGTGGGAGGATCCCTCTCCTCAGACTGAGGAACCTTGTTCTCAGAGTGAGGAACCTTGTCCTCAGAGTAAGGAACCTTGTCCTAGAGTGAGGAACCTGGTCTTCCGAGTGAGGAACCTTGTTCTCAGTGTGAGGAACCTTGTCGTCAGAGTGAGGAACATTGTCCTCACTGTGAGGAACCTTGTCCTCAATGTGAGGAACCATGTCCTCAGAGTGAGGAATCATGTCCTCAGAGTGAGAAACCTGCCTTCAGAGTGAGGAACCTTGTCCTCAGAGTGAGGAACCTTGTCTTCAGAGTGAGGAACCTGCCTTCAGAGTGAGGAACCTTGTCCTGAGAGTGAAGAACCTTGTCTTCAGAGTTAGGAACCTGCCTTCAGAGTGAGGAACCTTGTCCTGAGAGTGAAGAACTTTGTCCTCAGAGTGAGGAACCTTGTCCTCAGTGTGAGTAACCTTGTCATCAGGGTGAGGAACCTTTTCCTCAGTGTGTGGAACCATGTCTTCAGAGTGAGGAACCTTGTTCTCAGTGTGAGGAACCTTGTCCTCAGTGTGAGGAACCATGTCCTCAGTGTGAGGAACTATGTCCACAGAGTGAGGAGGCCAACCTCGTCCCCAGGGCTTCAGTGTGAGGGCGTGGCGAGACACGGGGAAGCCCCGGTCTGGGCCGTTCACGTGACGACAAAAAATGGCAGTATTTGACAGCTACTCGTGAAGGAGTTGCGAGATATTCTTTAATGAAATATAGAAGTCTTCGAAACAAATGAAGAGCCAAAAGACTTCTCAATCGATATTATTTATGTGTAGAGCGAAGTTTGGCACGAATCAGCTAAAATCTATGAAGATCCCGTCTATGTTTTTTAAGATATACCGATGTTTCTGGAGATTTTCAACTACAGGCAAAGCTGCATCCAAGCTGCACCTAGGCGTTCCATGCAAGTGATGATTCAGACGAAATTTCCTTTCGCTTGTCTTGAACAGTATGGCTAATGCTATAATTAATATTTAGTTTAAATATGCTCTTATAGATCTGACTTGGATATTTAGTATCGAACTTTCCCTTAGCCTTATTTTAATGATATATTCTTTTGTTTTTTATAATGGCCAACAACAAGGCTTAAATTTTTAATTTAATTTAATACAAAATTTTGACGTTTCGGAGTTTACTCCATCATCAGGCAAAAACTACAATTTGCGAACTAAAACCGTTAAAACTGTAATAAACGTCAACGCTTCTTGTAGTGTTGCATACTCGCGTGCAAGGTTGCGCAAGCATATAGATTGCGTGTACGAGAAAAATTAAAGTACAATTAGAATTACAATAATTAGATTAATAAGGACTGCAATTACTATAGTATTAAATTAAATGAAGAATTTAAGCCATGTTATTGGTCATTTATAAAAAAACAAAAGAACAGAGTTTGGATAGTATTTCAAGGAAATAGTATTTCAACACAACAAATATGAAAACAATAAAATTAATAAACTGTATGGACAAGTACGTTTTTAGATCGCTTCATCTCATATTTATGTCTCTTTTTATCTAACTGAAACAGAAATATTTAGGGGAAAATTATAAATCTGTGGCTGCTTTAGTTGTATTTTTTTATTTAGGATGGTGTCAAATTCCTCTTGGCTACCTGCAAATAAAATCTGCAGCTCTTCGCATTGTCAAAACACAAATATTACTGAGTGCTTTAATAGTTATAAACATTGTAAAATTTACCTTGTAATTTCGACTTTCGCTAACAAAAACGTATTGAGAAAGTTCTTTAACCACAGCAGTTGCTCCTTTTCTTTATTTAAGGTTTATTTTTCTTCGTTTTGAATAGTTTGAAAGACTTTTAGACACTTTTTGCCGTTTGAAACTCAGCTCTGGTCGCAGGGCAATAAAAATTGCGTATTGCCCGTGACCTATTGACGAATGCCTGAACTAAGAATATTGTAAAATAATGGGCCTTGATAGTCAATAGATAATTGGCGAAATCTAGCTGCACATGTAGGTACATAAAATTCTCCAGCCAATACTCAAGATCCCGTTATCATTGATCATATGGTTGATAGCGGTATTGATATATGTACTTTCACTGAAAGGTGGTTGACGGAATGTGACTCTGTCTGCATTACTGGACTATCTACTGCAGGATTTGTGTTTAGATCTTTCCCAAGACAGTCTGGTAGAAGTGGTGGCGGCACGGGTATTCTGAGCAAAGAATCGTTGAATGTAAAATCCAGTGACTGTGGGGACTTTAATTCGTTTGAATTCTCGGAGTGGAATGTTTGTGTACACAAGCAAACCATTAAAGTGGTGACAATCCAGCGACCTCCTTTCTCGGAAGATCACCGGGTTTCATCAAATGTATTTTTCGAAGAGTTTTCATCATACTTGGAGAACATCGTTATGATTCCCGAAGTACTCTTGATTACCGGTGATTTTAATTTTCACGTTGATTGTCCAACAGAAGCAGACGCGAAAAAGTTTGCGCACTTAATGAATACTTTTGGACTTATCCAACATGTTCATGTCCCAACTCATTCATCAGGTCATACCCTTGATTTGCCATCACAATCACCTTTCCTTTGGCGACGTTTGCTTTGTCTGATCATTTTTTTGTTGAATGTTTGTTGGATATTCCTCGCCCAAACATCCTAGTTAAAGAAGTTTGCTATCGCAAAGTTAAACAGATTGACCTCAATGCCTTCAAAGCTGATATATGCGCCTCAGACCTAATTAAAAAAACTTGGTCAAGTGTTAATGATATGTCAAAGTGCTATGATATTACCCTACGTTCTATTCTCGATAAAACATGCTCCTTTGAAATAGAAAGATATGACTGTTCGACCAATGGTTCCTTGGTTTAATGATAGTTTAAAGAAGCTGAAAGCTAAACGTAGGAAACTGGAAAGAATCATGCTTAAATCGAAACTTGAATGTGATAAGAATGCTCATCGTAAGGTACGCGATGACTACAGTGCTCTATTGAATGACACCAGAAAAATGTTTTATTCCAACCTTATTGATAAATCTGCTGGTGACTCCAGAAAATTATTCCAAATTGTTACCTATTTGAGCAACGAACGTCTTGTCGAGGAGCTTCCTGATAATCGCGATCCTTCCATCCTTGCTAACGAGTTTGGTGAGTTTTTTTGTAAGAAAATAGAACTCGTGAAATCAAAGATTGACGAGATTTACATTAACCCCCCTAATGTTCCATTTCATCTGCCTGAAGTGAAATTGGATGAATTTTCGTCGGTTTCTGAGGATGAAGTTCGGAGGATTATCCTTGAATCTTCAAATGCTTCCAGTAAGTTGGACCCTATTCCTACATCATTGGTTAATTTAAACTCTGTTGTCATGAATTGTCATCATTGGTTAATTTAAACTCGGTTGTCATAAACTCTGTTGTCATGAAATCAAAGATTGACGAGATTTCCATTAACCCACCTAATGTTCCATTTCATCTGCTTGAAGTGAAATTGGATGAATTTTCGTCGGTTTCTGAGGATGAAGTTCGGAGGATTATCCTTGAATCTTCGAATGCTTCCAGTAAGTTGGCCCTATTCCTACATCATTGGTTAATTTAAACTCTGTTGTCATGAATTGGTCCCAATCATCGCTGAAATCATTAATCTCTCTTTCTCTGGAGGAATTGTACCCATTCATTGGAAAATAGCGCTGGTTCTACCTCTTTTGAAGAAATTTGGGCTTGATTTTATGTTTGAAAACTTCAGACCTATAAGTAACCTGCCATTTGTTGCCAAGTCTGCTGAGAAGGCAACAATGTCTCAGTTATCTATACATTCTGCTGCAAATTCCCCTTTTCCCGAGTATCAATCAGCGTATCGGAAAAATCACTCAACACAAACAGCTTTACTAAAAGTCCAGAACGACATTCTCCTCAGTATGGATCGCCAGAAGGTTACGCTTCTTGTGCTTATCGACCTAAGTGCCGCATCTGATATCGGCCATGCAATCCTCCTGGAGACACTTGAAAAGGACTTTGGTGTAACTGGAAATGCTCTCAAATGGCTAACATCTTATTTATCCGAGAGAAAACAAACGATTTTAATTAAAGACCATGAATCGCAAGTTTTCAATCTTCAATCAGGAGTTCCGCAGGGTAGCTGTCTTGGCCCTGTCCTCTTCATACTCTACGTGGCTGGGTTATTTAAGATTATTGATAAACATCTTCCCAATGCACATACGTATGCAGATGACACCCAGATTTATCATTCGTTTCGGCCGGATACATCTTTATCGCAAGATGCTGCACCAAAGAGTATTGAAAACTGTGTTGCTGATATTCGTGCCTGGATGCTCTCTAACCGTCTCTTGATAAATGATTCCAAGACTGAATTTATTATCATCGGTTCAAAGCAGCAAATGTCAAAGATTAACATCAATGAAATTACAGTTGGTGAAGCTACGATCGAGCCTGTGGAGGCGGTGCAAAGCCTCGGAATGTGGTTTGACTCACATATGTCGATGGATATTCACATTGGAAAGGCGTGTAGTAAGGCGTTTCGCAGCCTCTATAATATCAGGCAGATAAGGAAATTCCTTTCAGAAGATACAACAAAGATTTTGGTTCATGCTTTTGTTACTTCACATCTGGACTATTGTAACTCATTGTTTTATGGTCTCCCACAGTCTCAATATGATAGGTTACAAAGAGTTCTCAATGCCGCAGCACATGTGGTCTGTCTAATCCCCAAATTTGATCATATTACTCCCGTTTTGATTGGCCTTCATTGGCTTCCTGTACGGTATCGGGTGATGTTCAAGATTTTGTTGCTGGTGTACAAGGCTCTTCATGCTAATGTACCGCCTTATATCTCAGACCTCCTGACACCTAAGCATATTGATTCCTACAGCCTGCGCTCGAATGAGCAAAATTTGCCAATAGTTCCTAAGACAATGAGGAAAACGTTTGGCGACAGAGCTTTTGCCAAGGCAGGTCCATTTTTGCGGAATGAACTTTCCGCCGATATTCGTGAGGCGTCAACAGTGGAAACTTTTAAAAGCAGAATTAAAACATTTCTTTTTAAAAAGGCATTTTATCTTTAAATATAATAGTAAATTTTAAACGTGTATATATAGGTATCATCTCATATTTTATAACATTTTATTTGAATTTGTAATAGCGCTTTAGAACATTTATAGTGTTTAGCGCTTTATAAATTAATAAATTATTATTATTATTATTATTATTATTATTATTATTATTATTATTATTATTATTATTATTATTATTATTATTATTATTATTATTATTATTATTAATCACACTAATATTCAATATGACATATATATAATTCAACAAAGGAACTTCTTAAGGATTTTCATTCTGGACAAGAAGACAAGCTTCAGCACCGCTTAATTTGTCAAGGTTCATTTTTCTCGAATGTTGCTAAGATTTCCCTTTCACAGTTAAACACACTTTGGTCTGCCGCTCAATCGAAACTGCCAAAGAACATTTTCAACTTCACCGTTCGTTACATAAATAGCTCTCTTCCTACGCGAAAAAATCTTACAAGATGGGGTTTAGCTTCAAGTCCCGAATGTTCCTTTTGCTTGTGTCCTGAAACCCTACTACAGATTGTAGCAGGCTGCCAATCGTACCTTCAGCGCTTTACTTGGAGACAAGATTCTATTTTCAACTTTCTTACTGAAACGTTTCAAACAATAAATCCATGTCGACTTTATGCTGACCTACCTGGCTACAAAAGCCCATTAATTATAACTGGTGACATATATCGACCGGACTTACTCCTAATTACTCCAAATGAAGATCTTTATGTCGTTGAACTTACTGTCGGGTTTGAATCTAACCTACATAATAACGTTAAACGAAAAAAGCTAAATATAAAGACCTAATTGAAGATCAAAGGGGTCACTTTAGTTCTGTTAAATTTGTAAACTTATCAATGAGCTCTCTCGGTGTGTTTGACAAAGAATGCTTCACCTTTTTAGAAATGTTAGACACTATAGGAATGGATAAAAAGCAGCAACATTACTGCATAAAAAAGATGACGTCTTATGCCATTAGAGCGACGTACTATATTTTTTGTTGTCGTAACAAAGATTGGACAAACCCTGAATTGTTAAACATTTAAATTAATAACTACATATATTAATATATATAATCATATACCCATTTTATTCTTGTTTTTACTGTAAATATGTAGTACTCTGTGATTCATGTAACCAATTGTAAATTACCTAAGTCAGTAGTAAGATTTACAATTGTATATATACGTAAGAAATTCAATAAAGTTTTCATTATTATTATTATTACCCATGTATTTCTTTAAATTTGCACAAATATGTCATCAAACCGTTTGGGGAAGTAATTTATTCGAATACTTAAACATACCTAATTGAAATAAATAAATATCATCAAATTTCAGACATCGTAAATTCCTTAAATATTGGATCAGTATGCGCATCATGTGCTACCTTGCTAACGATTCTGATAATATGTTTTCGAAGTAGAACAAGGCGGTCAAAATTGGATGGATATGTCAATCCACAAACAGTAATACAGTATTGAAGATGAGGGGATAAACAAGAGAATAGTATAGTGTACGTAAAGATGATAAAAAATGCATGATTCCGAAAGATTTAGAATTTTTGTTTCCTACAGTACATGCGAAAAATGAGCTTTCCAAGGTATTTTTTCATCTAGTATCACACCCAGGAACAGGACTTTTTTTGCCTTTATTAAGTTTATTTATGGTTGTTCTCACTTCTATGGACAAGTCCACAGTTCTTCCTTTTTTGTTCTGGTTTAAATATCAAATATTTAGAAAGGATCTTTCCCTTTGCCATTGCATTCAAGCTGCTCTTGTTATTGTCATCTTCGCGCCTTTGCCTTCAAAGGGGGTTTTCCTTAAGCCAACGCTCCACATACATGTATAATGTTTCAAACTACGCTGCAACATCCTCCGACCCATGCACCAGCCGTACCAAGGTTCGCGATTGTTTGTAAGAAAAGAGGATTTTGCTGCTTACAGTTTTTAACAACCTTTGCTTTAGAAAGGGCCTTCGCCTTTGCTTCTGTCATCGAAGGGTCTTTGCCTTCAAAAGTGCCCTTGAATTTGCATTTGCCATCAACGGGACTTCAAAGTGCCCTTCCCTTTGCCGTCAATGGACCTTTCCCTTTGCCATCAAAAGGCCTTTGGCATCGAAGCACCTTTACCATCAAAACGCCTTTGCCATCGTAGAGCCTGATCTCTCCAAAGTTGAAGCAATTGTCAACATGCCAATTCCAGAATCGAAAGGTGATCTTCAACGATTCTTGGGTATGGTGAATTATCTGGGTAAATTTGTCCCCAACCACTCACAAACCACCACTCCGCTTCGTGAAATGCTCAAGAAAGATGTTCATTTTGACCTCCAGCAACCACAACTGGACGCCATCCAAGAGCTGAAACGTTTGGTCACATCACCTCCATGCCTCAAGTTTTATGATCCAAACCTGCCTACTCGATTGAAACCTGACCCAAGTGCTGATGGTCTTGGTGCCCTCCTTGAACAAAACCATGGTTCAGACGATTCTCCCCAATGGTTCCCCATTGCCTATGCATCTAGAGCATTGTTACCATATGAAAGGAACTATGCACAAATCGAAAAAGAAGCCCTCTCGATTGTATTTGGAACGGAACGCTTTCATGAGTACCTCTACGGTCATCACTTCACTGTATTCAATGATCATCAACCACTCAAGTCAATCTTCAGTAAATCCATCACTCAATGTCCACCAAGAATACAGCGCTAAAATATGACTTCGACCTTGAATATTCTCCTGGCAAAACCATGGTCGTCTCAGATGCACTCAGCAGGGCCTACCTCAACAATCAATCAACTGAAATTGATCAACCTGATTTGATTCACTGTATCCAATTCCCTTTCGACAACCTTCCCATCAGCGATGCTCGCCTGACTGAATTTCAGAAAAAGACAGCCTCTGACACTACATTACAGCAACTCAAGGAATACACTCTTAAAGGATGGCCACAACAACGTGACATTCCTCAAACAGTCAAGCCATACTACAACATCCGTGATGAAATTGTTTACAACAACGGCTTACTTCCTCAAAGGTCAACGCATCATCATCCCATCATCACTGCGCAGCACCATGAAAGCAATCATACACCAGGGACACACTGGCATTGAAAGTTGCAAAAGAAAAGATATGATCAACACGCTAAAGATCTACCTGATATCCAACCAGGAACTGTTGTTCGAATCCGTGCAAAGGAAGATGAGAAATGGAATCAACTTGGTAAAGTCGTGGAGAAGTGTGCCGAGCCACGGTCCTATCGTCTCCTCAATGACAAAGGAAACATTGTGAGACGCAACCGCGGCCACCTTATCCCGTGTAAGGACAGATTCCAGATCCGGAATGACTTTGATTATGATGATCTAGAAGTGACAACCCGACCCAGTTCTCCAGAATCACCAAACGAAATCGTCACAAGATCTGGTCGAGTCGTTCGAAAATCGACTAGATATAGCTAGACAAATAAACGTTCATTCACGCAAACTTTATTAACTTTATATTTGTTTAATCTCCAACGGGAGATGTTACATATTTGTTTTGTTATTCTGATGTATGTTATTTAAGTCATGTAATTACGTCATACAATGCGTTCGCGCCAAATATATGTTTTTATATTCTCTGTCTTAAAAACTTGTGTGTTTAAACAGAACAGCTAGGGCACTTGAAGGCAAAGGCGCATTCGATGGCTTTGAAAGCAAAGGCAAAGTCTCTCCGAAACTGTAACAAGCAAAATCCTCTTTTCTCACATTCACTCGAGTCTTGGTACAGTTGGGTCGAAAGAACTTGTATTCCTAGAGAGTCTAGGTTGGAGGATGCTGCAGCAGTTAAAGGGATGGAGTAGTTTGAAGCAAGGCGAACTCCCTTCGATGGCAAAGCCTTTCGATCGCAAAGGCCCTTCGATGGCAAAAGCAAGTGCACTTTGAAGACAAAAAGGCCCTTCGATGGCGAAGGTGATAAATGCATGCCCTTAGTTGGCGAATGGAAGGGCATTTTGAAGGCCCTTCGGCTGCAAAGCACTTTGGATGGTAAGGACCCTTCCCTGACAAAGGCAAAAGGGCACTTTGAAGACAAAGACCCTTCGATGGCAAACGTCCTTCGATGGCACTTTGAAAGCAAAGTCTCTTCGAAACTGTAACAAGCAAAATCCTCTTTTCTAACGTTCACTCGAGTCTTTGTACAGCTGGGTCGGAAGAAGTTGCATTACCAGAGAGTCTAGATTGGAGGATGTTCCAGCGGTTAAAGCAATGGAGTAGTTTGAAGCTTTATACATGTATGATCGTTGGTTTCAAGGAAAAGGCCCTTCGAATGCAAAGGGAAGGGCAAATTGAAAGCAAAAGCCCTTCGATGGCAAAGGCACGGGCACTATGAAAGGCAAAAAAAGGCCCTTCGACGGCAAAGACCCCTCTATGGTGTAGGGAACGGCTCTTTGACGGCAAAGTCCCTTCGATGGCAAAGCTCTTCGAACGCAAAGGCCCTTTGATGGCAAAGGTAAATAATACCCTTCGACGGCGAAGTGAAGGGCACAATTGAGTGCCCTTCGACCGCAAAGGTCCTGGGATGGCAAGGATCCTTCCATAACAAAGGCAAGCGCACATTGAAGGCAAAAGCCCGTTCGATGGCAAAGGTAAAAAGGCCTTTGAAAGCAAAGGCAAAGTCTTTTCGAAATTGTAACAAGAAAAATCCTCTTTTCACACGTTCACTCGAGTCTTGGTACAGCTTGGTCGGACAAAGTTGGATTACCAGAGAGTCTAGGTTGGAGGATGTTGCAGCGGTTAAATGGATGGAGTAGTTTAAAGCATGATATATGTTTGATCGTTGGCTTGAAGGAAAAGGGACCTTCAAAGGCAAAGGAAAGAGGGACCTTCAAAGTCAAAGGGAAGGACAATGTGAGAGCAAAGGCCCTTCGATGGCAAAAGCAAAGGCACTTTGAAGGTGAAGACCCTTTGCTAGAAAAAGCGCCCTTCGATTACAAAAGCAAAAGGACACTTTGTGAAGGCAAACGCTGTTCGATGGCAAATACAAGGACGGGGCACTTTGAAAGGGATGTCACTTCAACCGCAAATGCTCCGGGCACTTTCCAGGCAATGGGGCCTTCAACTGCAAACGCAAAAGTCCTTTGAAATCAAAGGCAAAGTCTCTTCGAAACGGTAACAAGCAAAATCCTCTTTTCTCAATTTCACTCGAGTCTTGCTACAGTTGGGTCGAGAGAAGTTGTGTTACCAGAGAGTCTAGGTGGGAGGATGCTGCAGCGGTTAAAAAGGGATGTAGTATTTTGAAAGAAGGCGTTCCCTTCGATGGCAAAGCCCTTCGATCGCAAAGTCCCTTCGATGGCAAAAGCAAGTGCACTTTGAAGACAAAAAGGCCCTTCGATGGCGAAGGTGATAAATGCCCTTCGTTGGTGAATGGAAGGGCACTTTGAAGGCCCTTCGGCTGCAAAGGCCCTTGGATGGCAAGGGCCCTTCCATGACAAAGGCAAGAGCACTTTGAAGGCAAAGACCCTTCAATGGCACTTTGAAAGCAAAGGCAAAGGCTCTTCAAAGTCTTTTCTCACGTTCACTTGAGTCTTGGTACAACTGGGTCGGAAGAAGTTGCATTAAAAAAGAGTGTAAGGTGGAGGATGTTCCACGGGTTGCAATGGAGTAGTTTGAAGCTTTATACGTGTATGATCGTTGGCTTCAAGGAAAAGACACTTCGAAGGCAAAGGGGAAGGGCAATTCGAAAGCAAAGCTCTTCGATGGCAAAGGGAAGATGTCCCTTCAATGGCAAAGGGAAAGAGGGCCCTTCGATGGCAAAGCCCTTCGATCGCAAAGGCAAGTGCACTTTGAAGGCAAAAAAAGGCCCTTCGATGGCAAAGGTAAATATCCTTCGATGGCGAAGAGAAGGGCACAATTGCAGGCCCTTGGACCGCTAAGGTCCTTGGATGGCAAGGGTCCTTCCATAACAAAGGCAAAAAGGGCACTTTGAAGGGAAAGACCCTTCGATGGCAAAGGTAAAAAAGGCCTTTGAAAGCAAAGGCAAAGTCTTTTCGAAACTGTAACGAGCAATATCCTCATTTCTCACGTTCACACGAGTCTTGGTACAGCTGGGTCGGAAAAGGTTGCATTACCAGAGAGTCTAGGTTGGAGGATGTTCCAGCGGTTAAAGCAAGGGAGTAGTTTGAAGCTTTATACATGTATGATCGTTGGTTTCAAGGAAAAGGCCCTTCGAAGGCAAAGGGAAGGGCAATTTGAAAGCAAAAGCTCCTTCGTTGGCAAAGACACGTGCATTATGAAGGCAAAGTCCCTTCGATGGCAAAGGAAAAGGAGGCCCGTCGATGGCAAAAGCCCTTCGATCACAAAGGCAAGTGCACTTTGAAGACAAAAAGGCCCTTCGATGGCGAAGGTGATAAATGGCCCCTTCGTTGGCTGGCGAATGGAAGGGCACTTTTGAAGGCCCTTCGGCTGCAAAGGCCCTTGGATGGCAAGGGCCCTTCCATGACAAAGGCAAGCACTCTTTTGCGACAAGCACTCTTTTGCGTCAATTGCTTGCGATCAGGCGATAGAGCAAACTGCAAACAGAGATACTAAGTCTACTGGCGGTCTTCGTGGCATTTCGCTAAATCGGGGTTGGTTTTGTTACATTTTATAACATATTTTTAAATTGAATATAATTGGTATTATTACTCGCTGGGGCATCCTGTGCCCCGGGCGAGTATAGGGTTTCGGCTCGGATTTTTCTCGGATAGTAGATCGATGATCGATAGCCACAAAATAGAATATTAATGAGCTCCCTAATTCTTACCCAAATTAATCCATAAAGCTGCTGCGGCTTCTGCCAAATTTTACCCAAATTATCCATAAATAACCCTGCGTTTTGATGAAAATTGGGGAAAATTGAACAATTTTACAAGGAATTTCGACATGGAAACAGCAACCTTCGACTGTTATATTAATTTGGCTGCGCTGCTTTTATATTTTGAGAAGAAAGCGACACCGTTCGATTCAGCGTAAGAAATTAATTGTACTTACAAGTGTATAATACTAAACACCAGTATTCTAGCGATTTATGGCCTTTGAAAATGAAGCGAAATTGTATTGTTCACAAATCGTTCGCAGTACGAATTCTTGAGCACAAATCACGCGCACTACGTTTGTCCACAGGTTTGTTTGTAATGCCGCGCAATAAGGATAAAAATAACCACCGTTCGATTCAGCGTAAGAAATATTACTTACGGATGTCAAATGTGTTGCTAAGCACCTGTATTTTAGCGATTTATGACCTTTGAATTGAAAATCAAGCGAAATTGTATTTGTTGAAAATCGCTTACAATACAGTACGTATACGTATTATTGACAAATCACTCGCAGTACGTTTCATAGTGTATTTGTAATGCCTAATGGCGCGCAATAAGGATAAAAATACCACCGCTCGATTCAGCGTGTATTTAGAAATTGTACTAATTACGGATGTCAAATGTATTACTAAACAACAGCAGTGTTCTAGCGATTTATGGCCTTTGTCTTTGAAAGCCAAGCGAAATTGTATTGACGCTCAAAATTAATGATTAAAAACTATAAAAAAATGCAGTACGTTTGATCTTTGATAACTTTGGTATTATTGGTTTTCTGTTTTTCGGCCGTATACCAGTGGATTCTCGTTCATTCTCGCTTCATTTTGATAGTATTTTGAGCCAAAAAGCCCCCAAAATATTTTATTTTGAACGTTTTAAAGCGCAGTTTAACCCTAGACCAACTGGCGGCTGACAGTTTTGACTAGAAGAATGTAGCGTACTAAATATAACTTTAGTTCTTTACTTGTAGGGCCTCCGCATTTTAGTACTTGTTATTAAGCCTTTCACGCTAGTATTCGATTGTACACTAATGTGCGTTGTTGTATGGCCCCACTTCCCAGCGAGTTAACGCTCCGCAGAGCGTCTTGTTTGTATATATTTTCAGCGTTATGTAACAGTTGCACTAATATCGTACAAATTATTTTTATTATCATAGGAGCTGTAAGACGACGGCTATTAGCACAACCTGACAGAGCAGCAATCAGCCAAAAAGTGTCAAGAAATGGCAAGCATCAGTTCTAACACCAGAACGCCAAAGAGTTTGGATAAAACCCGAAAAGAAGCTGACGAGCAGTCGGTACAAAACATCCTTTCCACCTTTGACAGCATGATCAATCCTTTTACCCATGACTCGGAAGAACTTGTTTCCTTAAGTTCAGGCTTGGTTGCTTCAACTGATTGTAAAATCCAGACTTGCTAAAAGCCGAAAACAGGGGAGAAGAAGTAGCTGTTAGGTAACTGTTTGTTTTGTATCTTGGCTGAAATTTATGCTAATTAGAGTTTAGGAATACCGCATGTGGTTGGCATTTACCAGTTATATATAAGCATGGATCTCTTGGAAATTTTGAATGTACACGTAAGTTATCTAATATGTGTTTGATAATGGCTTTTCTATCCACAGCTACATGAAAGAGTGGTGTGATTGACAAGGATAAAACGATATTCGATACATTGAAGGGAATGAAGCTCAAAAACTTTGGAGATGTTCAGAAGAGACCCAGCAAATCATCCAAGCTTAACTTGCTGAAACACGACAAGAATATGTTCTCTCGGCTTCTTGTTGTGCCTATCAAGTCGAGAAATATAAACCTGCAAGAAGTGCTTAAATTCAACCTTGGTCCTATTTCGTATTCACTTGCAAGTGCTGATGGTAGCTTGACGAAAACCAACAAGGCAGTGTTGTTGAAAGTGATCGAGCAAGAGGTGCCTAACAATCGCCACATAATTGAAGCTCCACCCCAAGGGTCGGCACTGATGATAGATGGTATGGCTGTTCTGCAATGTTTGAAGGTGGCCAAAATTCCACCCACATTTAAAGAGTTGGCACAGATGATCCTTGAAATGATTGTGAAGATAATGTTGTTCTACAAAAGCAACAGAGTAGATTTCGTCACAGATAGATATCCTGATCTTAGTATCAAGTACTGTGAAAGAAATAGAAGAGCAGCAGCTGGATATCAGCGCATTGAAATATTCAGTGGTGATCAGAAGACACCTACGCAGTGGAAGAAATTCTTGAATTGTGGTTCAAACAAAGAAGCACTTGTTGAATTTTTGTTCAAGTCCTGGTGCCAAGCAATCCTTTCCATTACCACTCTTGAAGTTCATTTGTTCATTGCCCATGGCGATTTGTGTCATCATTTATGTTTTGGCAACCGGACACTTCCAACAGTAAGTCCCATTCCAGAGCTGACCTGCAGTCACGAGGAAGCAGACACACGGTTGCTTCTCCACGCACATCATGCTGCTGTATCTGGATGGTCAGACGTAATTATTAGGAGCCCAGACACGGATGTTGCAATCATCAGCTTGTCAATGCAAGAATCTTGTCAGACAAACTTATTCTTTGCTACAGGCAATAAAGATCAGGAACGCATTCTTGACACACGCTGCATGGTTGAGAAAGTTGGTCCTACTCTTTGTACATCATTAATTGGCCTTCATTCCTTCACAGGTTGTGACTCTACCAGTTTCTTTCACGGGAAAGGCAAGGCCACTTTCTTCCATCTTGTGAAGGAAAACGACCGGTATGTAATGGCATTGACACAATTGGGTGAATCCTTCAACGCCGAGAGAGAGCTTATCACTCCGTTGGAAGCACTAGTATGTCAAGTCTACAAGTCCAACACTGAATCAGTTGACAAGGCAAGGTACCTTCTATTTTGTACCGGCTCGAAAGATGGAGCTTCCTTGCCTCCAACACAAGACGCATTAACACAACATGTGAAATGGGCCAACTATCAAGCAACTATTTGGAGTCGACACTGTCTCGAAAGCCAGTTGGAAGTGCCATCACCGATTGGTCATGGGTGGACCGCTGACAGTGATGGCCTTTCTTCAGTATATCTGGATGACTAAACCACTTGCTCCAGATGATGTCTTACAGTCTTCATTTTGCAGCTGTAACAAGACGGCGTGCGGGAAGAGATGCTCTTGTAAAGCTAAAAAATTGTCTTGTACTGGTCGTTGCAAATGTTTTCAGAATGAAAGAGACAGCTTAAATGAATTTACAATGAATCCGGAGATTGAAAATCATCTAAACGATGACGACAGCAATCCTGAGATTGACATGTAATAGAAATATATAGCTAAATTCAAAGGCTTGTAACTTTCGATTGATCAAGATGAACTATGGGGAACTTCTGTTTTGAAACATTTTAGCATAGTACTATATATAACAAGTGAGAAGAGGTTGCCACCATTCATTTTTAAAAATGTCATTTCTAGTAGCTTTTTTGGCGTCTGCTGATGGCCTAAAAAGGGGCCTTCGATGGCAAAGGCAAAAGTCCTTTGAAAGCAAAGGCAAAGTCTCTTCGAAACTGTAACAATCAATATCCTCTTTTCTCACGTTCACTCGAGTCTTGGTACAGTTGGGTCGGAAAAAGTTGCATTACCAGAGAGTCTAGGTTGGAGGATGTTTCAACGGTTAAATGGATGGAGTAGTTTGAAACACGATATATGTTTGACCGTTAGCTTCAAGGAAAGGGACCTTCAAAGGCAAAGGGAAGGGCAATTTGAAAGCAAAAAGGCCCTTCGATGGCAAAAGCAAAGGGTACTTTGAAGGAAAAGACCCACTGCTGGAAAAAGCCCTTCGATGACAAAAGCAACAAGGGCACTTTGAAGGCAAACGCTCTTCGATGGCAAATACAAGGGCGGGCACTTTGAAAGCGATGGACCTTCAACGGCAAAGGTGCATTCGATGTCTTCGAAAGCAAAAGCAAAGGCAAAGTCTCTTCGAAACTGTAACAAGCAAAATCCTCTTTTCTCACATTCACACGAGTCTTGGTACAGTTGGGTCGAAAGAAGTTGTATTTCTAGAGTGTCTAGGTTGGAGGATGCTGCAGCAGTTGGCCCTTCGATGGCAAAATGATGTGCACTTTGAAGGCAAAGGCCCTTAGCTTCGATGGCACAAGTGATAAATGCCCTTAGTTTGCGAATGGAAGGGCACTTTGAAGGCCCTTCGGCTGCAAAGGCCTTAGGATGGTAAGGACCCTTCCATGGCAAAGGCAAAAGGGCACTTTGAAGACAAAGACCCTTCGATGGCATACGTCCTTCGATGGCACTTTAAAAGCAAAGGCAAAGTCTCTTCGAAACTGTAACAAGCAAAATCCTCTTTTCTCACGTTCACTCGAGTCTTTGTACAGCTGGGTCAGAAGAAGTTGCATTACCAGAGAGTCTAGGTTGAAGGATGTTCCCGCGGTTAAAGCAATGGAATAGTTTGAAGCTTTATACATGTATGATCGTTGGTTTCAAGGAAAAGGCCCTTCGAAGGCAAAGGGTAGGGCAATTTGAAAGCAAAAAGCCCTTCGATGGCAAAGGCACGGGCACTATGAAAGGCAAAGGCCCTTCGACGGCAAAGCCCCCTCTATGGTGTAGGGAAGGGCTCTTTGACGGCAAAGTCCCTTCGATGGCAAAGCCCTTCGAGCGCAAAGGCCCTTTGATGGCAAAGGTAAATAATACCCTTCGACGGCGAAGGGAGGGGCACATTGAAGACCCTTCGACCTGCAAAAGCTCTTGGACTGGCAAGGGTCATTCCATAACAAAGGCAAGGGCACATTAAAGGCAAACGCCCATTCGATGGCAAAGATAAAAAGACCTTTGAAAGCAAAGAAAGGCAGAGTCCTTTCGAAATTGTAACAAGCAAAACCCTGTTTTCTCACGTTCACTCCAGTCTTGGTCGGAAAAAGTGGGATTACCAGAGAGCCTTGGTTGGAGGATGTTGCAGCGGTTAAATGGATGGAGTAGTTTAAAGCATGATATATATGTTTGATCGTTGGCTTGAAGGAAAACGGACCTTCAAAGGCAAAGGGAAGGGATTGGTGAGAGCAAAAAAGACCCTTCGATGGCAAAAGCCCAAAAGGTACTTTGAAGGAGAAAGACCCTTTACTAGAAAAAGCGCCCTTCGATGACAAAAGCAAAGGACTCTTTGTGAAGGCAAACGCTCTTCGATGGCAAATACAAGGACGGGCACTTTGAACGCGATGTCCCTTCAACGGCAAAGGCTCGGGCACTTTGAAGGCAATGGGTCCTTCAATCGCAAAAGTCCATTGAAATCAAAGTCTCTTCGAAACTGTAACAAGGAAAATCCTCTTTTCTCACTTTCACTCGAGTCTTAGTGCAGTTGGGTCGAGAGAAGTTGTGTTACCTACCAGAGAGTTTAGGTTGGAGGATGCTGCAGCGGTTAAAGGGATGTAGTAGTTTTGAAGGAAAGCGTTCCCTTCGATCGCAAAGCCCTTCGATCGCAAAAGCAAGTGCACTTTGAAGACAAAAAGGCCCTTCGATGGCAAAGGTGATAAATGCCCTTCGTTGGCGAATGGAAGGGCACTTTGAAGACCCTTCGGCTGCAAAGGCCCTTGGATGGCAAGGGCCCTTCCATGACAAAGGCAAGGGCACTTTGAAGGCAAAGACCCTTCAATGGCAAACGTCCTTCGATGGCACTTTGAAAGCAAAGGCAAAGGCTCCTTCAAAGTCTTTTCTCACGTTCACTCGAGTCTTGGTACAGCTGGTCGTACTTATGGATAAGCTTCAACCACCGCCGCCATTTTCCTTTGAAGGAAACGTATCTCATGGCTGCAAAATATGGGAAAAATACTTCAATTTTTATCTCACTGCTACTGAATCAGATTTCAAAGAGCTATAAAGTGAAAACCTCCATTCTCTTAACCTGCATTGGACCCAAAGGACGCGAAATTTACGAGACATTTACCTTCTCACAAGAAACTGACAAGCTGAAACTCTCAAGGGTCGTATTAGAAAAATTCAGTGCATATTGTAATCCTAGAAAGAATATCACTATACTTCACTATCAATTCTTTACCTACAGCCAACACGAAGGTCAGTCTTTCAACGATTTCGTCATAGAACTTAAGAAACGAGCCTCTGAGTGTGAATTTGGGACTTTAGCTGATTCACTGATTAAAGACATGATTGTTTGCGGGGTAGCTGATCAATCCCTCCGTGAAAGACTCTTACGTGATGCGGATTTAACACTTGCCAAGGTCATTGATGCCGGTATTGCTGCAGAGGAAACCAAGCGTCACGCAAAAGAGCTCGAAAAACATCAACAATCGTCAGATATTCACCAAGTTTATCATTCAAAAGAAAGAAAACTCAAAGAATCTAGCAGAGCCCCTGATGACGTCATCAAGAAATGTAAGTTTTGTAATGGCTCCCACCAACGTGGCAACTGTCCGGCCTACGGGAAACGGTGTAGAACATGCAACCGTAAGAATCATTTTGCTGTTCCCAAAAATCTGTCAAATGTTGTTGCTGAGCAGGATAAGTCCTCTGATGATGAATTTTTCATCGATATGGTTAAAGTCACTAATACCAATCAGAATCTCTCAACTGAAGGTTATGGTGAAAACACCCCAACTCCCAAATCCATGCCAACCAATGCTAGTCCCAATGTTTTCACAGTTAACAATACCAAATCAGATTGGTCTGTCACACTGGGCATGAATGGAACTGATGTCAATTTCAAAATAGATACTGGAGCCCAGTGCAATGTAATTTCCAAAGCGCCTACTTTCCAACCTCTCACCTAAGACCTAAGCTCAAAACAGCAAACGTCCAGCTCTCTGCATATAATGGCACAACTATCCCTGTTGCCGGTAAGTGCATTGCTCAAGTCAAACACAGGGGACAAACAATTCCCATCCTCTTCATGGTTGTAAATTCAAACTCTGTCCCCATACTAGGATTAAATACATGTGACAAACTGAACTTGATCAAACAAGTGTATCAAATTTCAGAGGAAGTGCAATCTCATACTCATATTGAGGGGGAATTCTCTGTCTGTTTTGGAGAAATTGGATGTTTGAAGAGAACACATCACATCGAACTAAGAGATGATTGTGAAACCTGTAATCATTCCTGTCAGACAAGTACCCTTTTTGCTCTAAAGCCAAAGCTCAAAGAGGAATTGCAACGTATCGTTGAGCTCAATGTTATTCAACCAGTCGAAAAACCAACGGAATGGGTCAACGCCTTAGTCATTGTCTCCAAACCAAATGGCAAGCTGCGGATATGCTTAGATCCTCGACCCCTAAATAAAGCCATAAAGAGGCAACACCACCGTCTACCCACAACCGAATTCCCTTCCCATTCCCTTCGACCGCAAAGGTCCTGGGATGGCAAGGGTCCTTCCATAACAAAGGCAAGGGCACATTGAAGGCAAAAGCCCGTTCGATGGCAAAGGTAAAAAGGCCTTTGAAAGCAAAGGCAAAGTCGTTTCGAAATTGTAACAAGAAAAATCCTGTTTTCTCACGTTCACTCGAGTCTTGGTACAGCTTGGTCGGAAAACGTTGGATTACCAGAGAGTCTAGGTTGGAGGATGTTGCAGCGGTTAAATGGATGGAGTAGTTTAAAGCATGATATATGTTTGTTTGATCGTTAAGTTGAAGGAAAGAGGGACCTTCAAAGGAAAGAGGGACCATCAAAGTCAAAGGGAAGCGCAATGTGAGAGCAAAGGCCCTTCGATGGCAAAAGCAAAGGCACTTTGAAGGTGAAGACCCTTTGCTAGAAAAAGCGCCCTTCGATTACAAAAGCAAAAGGACACTTTGTGAAGGCAAACGCTGTTCGATGGCAAAAACAAGGACGGGCACTTTGAAAGGGATGTCCCTTCAACGGCAAAGGCTCCGGGCACTTTGCAGGTAATGGGGCCTTCAATGGCAAACGCAAAAGTCCTTTGAAATCAAAGGCAAAGTCTCTTCGAAAGGGTAACAAGTAAAATCCTCTTTTCTCACTTTCACTCGAGTCTTGCTACAGTTGGGTCGAGAGAAGTTGTGTTACCAGAGAGTCTAGGTGGGAGGATGCTGCAGCGGTTAAAAAGGGATGTAGTATTTTGAAAGAAGGCGTTCCCTTCGATGGCAAAGCCCTTCGATCGCAAAGGCCCTTCGATGGCAAAAGCAAGTGCACTTTGAAGACAAAAAGGCCCTTCGATGGCGAAGGTGATAAATGCCCTTCGTTGGCGAATGGAAGGGCACTTTGCAGGCCCTTCGGCTGCAAAGGCCCTTGGATGGCAAGGGCCCTTCCATGACAAAGGCAAGGGCACTTTGAAGGCAAAGACCCTTCAATGGCAAACATCCTCCGATGGCACTTTGAAAGCAAAGGCAAAGGCTCTTCAAAGTCTTTTGTCACGTTCACTCGAGTCTTGGTACAGCTGGGTCGGAAGAAGTTGCATTAAAAAAGAGTCTAGGGTGGAGGATGTTCCAAGGGTTGTAGTTGTAATGGAGTAGTTTGAAGCTTTATTCGTGTATGATCGTTGGCTTCAAGGAAAAGACCCTTTAAAAGCAAAAGCTCTTCGATGGCAAAGACACGGGCATTATGAAGGCAAAGTCCCTTCAATGGCAAAGAGAAAGAGGGCCCTTCGATGGCAAAGCCCTGCGATCGCAAAGGCAAGTGCACTTTGAAGGCAAAAAAAAAAGGCCCTTCGATGGCAAAGGTAAATATCCTTCGATGGCGAAGAGAAGGGCACAATTGCAGGCCCTTGGACCGCTAAGGTCCTTGGATGGCAAGGGTCCTTCCATAACAAAGGCAAAAAAGGGCACTTTGAAGGGAAAGACCCTTCGATGGCAAAGGTAAAAGGCCTTTGAAAGCGAAGGCAAAGTCTTTTCGAAACTGTAACGAGCAATATCCTCATTTCTCACGTTCACACGAATCTTGGTACAGCTGGGTCGGAAAAGGTTGCATAACCAGAGGGTCTAGGTTGGAGGATGTTCCAGCGGTTAAAGCAATGGAGTAGTTTGAAGCTCTATACATGTATGATCGTTGGTTTCAAGGAAAAGGCCCTTCGAAGGCAAAGGGAAGGGCAATTTGAAAGCAAAAGCTCCTTCGATGGCAAAGACACGTGCATTATGAAGGCAAAGTCCCTTCGCTGGCAAAGGAAAAGGAGGCCCTTCGATGGCACAGCCCTTCGATCACAAAAGCAAGTGCACTTTGAAAACAAAAAGGCCCTTCGATGGCGAAGGTGATAAAATGCCCCTGCGTTGGCGAATAGAAGGGCACTTTGAAGGCCCTTCGGCTGCAAAGGCCCTTGGATGGCAAGGGCCCTTCAATGAGAAAGGCAAGCACTCTTTTGCGACAGCACTCTTTTGCGTCAATTGCTTGCAATCATGCGACAGAGCAAACTGCAAACCAGAGATACTAAATCTACTGGCGGTCTTCGTGGCATTTCGCTAAATCGGGGTTGGTTTTGTTACATTTTAACATATTTTTAAATTGACTATAATTGATATTATTATTACTCGCTGGGGCACCCTGTGCCCCGGGCGAGTATAGGTTTCGGCTGGGATTTTTCTCGGATAGTAGATCGATGATCGATAGCCACAAAATAGAATATTTAATGAGCTCCCTAATTCTTACCCAAACTAATCCATAAAGCTTCGGCGGCTTCTGCCAATTTTTACCCAAATTATTCATAAATAACCCTGCGTTTTGAGCAAAATTCGGGAAAATTGAACAATTTTACAAGAATTTCGACATGGAAACAGCAACCTTCGACTGTTATGTTAATTTGGCTGCGCTGCTTTTTATATTTTGAGAAGAAAGCGACACCGTTCGATTCAGCGTAAGAAATTAATTGTACTTACAAGTGTAAATACTTTACACCAGTATTCTAGCGATTTATGGCCTTTGAAAATGAAGCGAAATTGTATTGTTCACAAATCGTTCGCAGTACGTACGAATTCTTGAGCACAAATCACTCGCACTACGGTTTGTCCACTGGTTTGTCCTTGTGTTTGTAATGCCGCAATAAGGATAAAAATAACCACCGTTCGATTCAGCGTAAGAAATATTACTTACGGATGTCAAATTGTTGCTAAGCACCAGTATTTTAGCGATTTATGGCCTTTGACACTTGAAGATTTATGGCCTTTGACACTTTGTGAAGGCAAACGGTGTTCGATGGCAAATACAAGGACGGGCACTTTGAAAGGGATGTCCCTTCAACGGCAAAGGCTCCGGGCACTTTGCAGGCAATGGGGCTTTCAATGGCAAACGCAAAAGTCTTTTGAAATCAAAGGCAAAGTCTCTTAGAAACGGTAACAAGCAAACCCTCTTTTCTCACTTTCACTCGAGTCTTGCTACAGTTGGGTCGAGAGGAGTTGTGTTACCAGAGAGTCTAGGTGGGAGGATGCTGCAGCGGTTAAAGGGATGTAGTATTTTGAAGGAAGGCGTTCCCTTCGATGGCAAAGCCCTTCGATCGCAAAGGCCCTTCGATGGCAAAAGCAAGTGCACTTTGAAGACAAAAAGGCTCTTCGATGGCGAAGATGATAAATGCCCTTCGTTGGCGAATGGAAGGGCACTTTGAAGGCCCTTCGGCTGCAAAGGCCCTTGGATGGCAAGGGCCGTTCCATGACAAAGGCAAGGGCACTTTGAAGACAAAGACCCTTCAATGGCAAACATCCTTCGATGGCACTTTGAAAGCAAAGGCTCTTCAAAGTCTTTTCTCACGTTCACTTGAGTCTTGGTACAGCTGGGTCGGAAAAAGTTGCATTAAAAAAGAATTTAGGGTGGGAGGATGTTCCAGGGGTTAAAGCAATGGAGTAGTTTGAAGCTTTATACGTGTATGATCGCTGGTTTCAAGGAAAAGACCCTTCGAAGGCAAAGGGGAAAGGCAATTTGAAAGCAAAAGCTCCTTCGATGGCAAAGACACGGGCATTATGAAGGCAAAGTCTCTTCGCTGGCAAAGGGAAGATGTCCGTTCGATGGCAAAGGCAAAGAGGGCCCTTCGATGGCGAAGCCCTTCGATCGGAAAGCGAAGTGCACTTTGAAGGCAAAAAAAAAGGCTCTTCGATGGCAAAGGTAAATATCCTTCGATGGCGAAGAGAAGGGCACAATTGCATGCCCTTGGACCGCTAAGGTCCTTGGATGGCAAGGGTTCTTCCATAACAAAGGCAAAGTGCACTTTGAAGGGAAAGACCCTTCGATGGCAAAGGTAAAAAGGCCTTTGAAAGCAAAGGCAAAGTCTTTTCGAAACTGTAACGAGCAATATCCTCTTTTCTCACGTTCACACGAGTCTTGGTACAGCTGGGTCGGAAAAGGGTTGCATTACCAGAGAGTCTAGGTTGGAGGTTGTTCCAGCGGTTAAAGCAATGGAGTAGTTTGAAGCTTTATACATGTATGATCGTTGGTTTCAAGGAAAAAGCCCTTCGAAGGCAAAGGGAAGGGCAATTTGAAAGCAAAAGCTCCTTCGATGGCAAAGACACGTGCATTATGATGGCAAAGGGAAAGAGGCCCTTCGACTGCAAAAGCCCTTCGATCGCAAAGGCAAGTGGACTTTGAAGGCAAAAAAAAGGCCATTCGATGGCAAAGGTAAATATCCTTCGATGGCGAAGAGAAGGGCACAATTGCAGGCCCTTCGACCGCAAAGGTCCTTGGATGGCAAAGGGTCCTTCCATAACAAAGGCAAGGGCACTTTGAAGGGAAAGACCCTTCGATGGCAAAGGTAAAAGGCCTTTGAAAGCAAAGGCAAAGTGTTTTCGAAACTGTAACGAGCAATATCCTCTTTTCTCACGTTCATACGAGTCTTGGTACAGCTGGG